GATTTCGTGTCTACTTAAAAATGTTTGTATCACCATCAACAAAACTCTCATCCGTGATATTCTGGAGCTTGAGACGAGTGATATTCAAATCTTTCTTCATAAAACTCATCCCACTTTAGCAGGGTATGACCTTTTCAAGGCACGTCGTCTTGTCACAATTATCACAAAACGTAGTGCAAACCAATTAACTCTTCCATGTAAAGTTTTACAAAGCATCATTGCACATGTCATTCTTCCCCGAAAGGGTTATCGAGATGAAGTGATCTATTTTGATCTTTTTATTCTCGATTCCTTTCTTGTCGGGCGAAAACTAGATTTTTCGATTATTGCATTAGGTCTCATGAAATTTGTGCACTCCACATGTCATATTAAAGCTTTAACTTACAGAATGCTTCTCATAAAAAAATTTCAATCATTTTGCCATTTTGCTAAATGATGAGACTTTTGATAAACTTTGCCCTACCGACACAATCAATATCCACCCTTAAGCTGATAAAAATAGTAAAAGAACATGGTCAATGGGTAGCACACACAAAAGGGTTCGACCCCACCTCGGGTCCATCAACTCTACCGTTTGAGGGTGATGAGGATGATGATGCTCATGATATACCGCAAGTTCCAAATCCCCCTCATGATATTCCTGGCTCTAGTGTTCCTCATTCTTCGGGCGCAGGCTTTACATTTACCAATGATCATTACAATCTTCTAAACGGCCGCATTAACTCTCTTACATCATCAATTGACGATCTTGGTAGAATGCTTCAGCAATTATAAGTCCAACAGGCTTCCATCCAAGCTCAACAAGATGCCATTCAAGCACAACATGTGGTAATGTAGGCTCAGCAGAATGCCTTCTACGTTCACTTCTATTCCTAGTTTCCTCCACCACCACCTCCGTAGCCATAGTTATCACTTTTGATGATTTGAATATTTCCGTATGACTTGACTGCACTAGTACTTTATCTAGCCTATTTTATTTATGATGTTAGTTTTTGAACATCATTTTGATATTATCTGTGGTTATTTCTTTATGTTTAATGCTATGGTTATTTCTTGATCCATGTTTTGTGCTTTTTACTTATGCCAAAAGGGGAAAATAGAGTGAAGATGATTATGCATGATCATACGTGATTTGACAATAACATGCTTGGAGTATATGAAAAATGGGATACATGATAAATTTATAATGTATATGATATCAATTGTTCAATCATATCTTGCAAATCATCTTGTTTGTCATAATCAAAAAGGGGGAAATTGTTGACCTATAGTTAATCTCATATTTTGATTATAACAAACAAATTGTTTTATATCTAACAATTGTATTCAAGTCTTGATAGCTAGTATGGCCAAATTGATTAATTGAAGACAAAAGAATTGCTACCAAAAGACTCGTAATTTACGATCAAAGAAAATCGAGATGGAAGCTGAGCAATCATGTCAAATCAATCGAAGCATTCATGACGAATCAAGCATTCATTGAAGATATTAGACTTAAATGTTTTGAATCCATATGTAAAGGTAAAATACTTTAATCCTTAGAAATGAATCACTAAAAGCTCAAAACATTAAATTGTTATGCACGAGATAAAATATTCATAAAAACGCTCGCATAAAAATTGTTTTCAAAAAGATAAAAATCTTCACTTGATTTTTAAATCTTTTGCCAATATTACTTATTTTGAAAAGTTAAGTGAAAATTTCCTTCAAGGCCTAAACTTTTAAAAATATCAAGAAAAGAAATATCCGGAAAAATTATGTCATAGCGGACGTCTGGTTGGGCCAGCAGACATCCGATTCGTCCAACGGTTAATTTTTTTACTGTTTTGATTTCCAACGTACAACGGCTAGTTTAGTCTTCCGATTTTGTAGGCAGACGTCCGGTTGGATCGTCCGATTGATCAGAAATTTTAGCGTTTTGATTGCTATGAATACCACTTTACTTTACATTAAATATAAAACTTTTAAGAGCATTTATGTGAGATATTCTTGAACAAAGCTACATTGATTTATCTTTCTCAAATAATTTATTTTGAAAAACTTTTGATTGAATTAACTTTCGAAAATCATTTTACTCATCAAAGTTTTTCTCACCTAACATTTGAGTTTCATTCATTGCTATTTATTAAAGTGTTAGCCTATTTCTCTCTTGGTACTTAATTTAATTATATCATTTATTAAGAGAGAAGTTTCAAATTGTAAAATCACTTTCCTATTAAATTTGTGGTCGTGTTGATGTCCCGTAAATCTCAACATTGTATAATGATTGGTGCTCTTTGTTTGTAAGTCACCAGAAGCGTTGTAAATGGTTGGATTGAACTATAAGATAATCAACATAGTGAAGTGGTTTTGTTCGTAACAGAGAACTTGGTAATAGATGACGTAGATCATTACTTTGGATCGAATCTCCATAATTATATCGTTTGCATTCTCTCTCTCTTTTACTTATTGCATTTACATTTGCGCTCACAATTTGAATTTATCGATTTGGTCTTTACTTACTTGTGTTTATCTTAATTTTTCGAAAAAAGTTTTAAATAACCAATTCACCCCCCTTCTTGGTTAGCCATTCTTGGGCTTTCAAAAAGTTATGGGTAAATCTTGCCATTATCGTTGGTGGTGTCATTGTATACAGTTACTAGAAACAAACTCATTTTTTGCCATAATACTTTACATAGATACAATTCTATTGATTTAATTGATGGTTTGAATGCGGTTAAGAGTGTTGATTTTAGCCAAAATCCTTTTTTTTGATACATTTAGTTGTGATTCTGTTATGAGGCTTGTTTCAGCCTTGATTGGTGGTCAACTTTTGCCCCTAGTTGGAGTAGTAGGAGTGAAGAATATTTTCAGTTTGAAAGTTTTGATGGAGAAGTTTGTTTGTATTTTTTATTGAAAGTTCAAGTTTATTCTTTGAAGTCGAATTCGTGTCAAGGTAAAAATTGTTAGAGTTTGGGTGTGACTCGAATTCTTTGTTGAAGATAATTGGGAGTTCTAATTAAAGTGCACATTAAAAAAACATTAAAAAGAATTCTATTTGGAATGCTATTGTGGAATCCTATTTAAGTTACTTGGCGAATTCTAGTTGATGCTTTACTTGGGAAGTCCAATTGGAAATTGAAATTTGTGTTGGACTTGAAGAGAACATTGAAATAAAGAAAATCAAAATTTTGAAGTAAAGGACCCGAGAGTAGGCGTTGCGATGCCATCGTCTCAGGGCCAATTGGCTATTTTCTCCATGCGCGATTTTTCCCTTCTACTTCGTTATGGACTGCACTTTTTGAATTTTACTTCAATTACAATTCTACTATTAGGGTTTGAACATCTCTTATTTGTTCCCTATATATAGTTGACTCTTCATTATGATTTAGTAAGAAGTTAGACAAAGTTGTAAATACAAATCTTTATATTCTTTCTCTATATTATAATAAAATTTCTATTATCTGCAAATTATTTTGTTCTTGCGATCAACTACTTCATATCATACCTATAATCTTGTGTTTTCTCTAACAATTTGGTATTGAATTAATTCGGTATAATATGCTTTTCACAACATATTTAAAGATTTTAGATGGTATGTTGATGAGAGAGAGAGAGAGAGAGAGAGAGAGAGAGAGTGTGTGCACGTCATAATTAAATCGAAAAAGTAAGTTATTAGGAAATCACTTTGAATCTTGTTTTCTATTCAAACAAAGTGTGAAATTATCACAAACCCAATCTAATCAATAATAGTTTAATGCTATTACATTATCCTCCAAACTAATTGACCTCTCCTTTTGATCATCGCTATGTAACTTTATATAATGCTAACACTTGCTATTATACTTCTTCATTTGCTTCATTTTTTCAAAAATATTTTTGTTTAGGGTTAGTTTCAATAATAGGCACTGAACTATGTAACTAGTGTTATCTTGGCCATTGAACTTTACAATTAATGTTATCTTCGATTTGTTTGGAACTCATAACTAAAGTTTATAAAATGTTTCATTCATACTATATATTCTCGACAGATACAGACTTCGCTTCTATTGAATAAGTGGACTTCCCTTTGGATTGACTCTTTTTCGATAGCAATAGTTTGATGTCCATTTTTTACTAGAAAATCCTACTTGTCCATGTACCAAATCATCAAGCCATTTTAAAGATAAAATGTTAAGGGTTGTACTACATGTGCATAAAAATTTACATAAAGACACTACAACAAAAACAACCTACAACAACGTTCAAAAAACGTTGCAAATCGAGATGTTGTCGTAGAGTAGAGAGATAGAGCAACGTTTTTTGAACGTTGCTGAAAGTCTACGGCAACGTTTTTTGAACGTCGCCATAGGTTTTTTTTTTCAACAGCAATTTATGCAAATTGATTGGCAAAATTGAAAATGACTCCTTATGAAAATTTTTTGGAATTGAATAAAAATTGATAATTTCATTAAAAATTTTTGAATCCATACACTTGAACATTAGAATGTGATGCAACACCACTTAAATACAAAATGAGCTTCAAAATGAAATAAAATGATAATAGAAAAACTCGATCATAACAAAGTTTTTCAAGTTTCAACTAATTTCAAAAAATTGCCAAATAAAATATTCTCCAACACTATTTTCTGAAGATGGCAAACTTCGGCTCACAGGTCTTGTACACTCAAACCTGAAAATGCAATGGATTTAAAATTTGAATCACCCCCACACAGCATATAAATCTGAAGGAATAATAACTAGAAATGAGGGAATAACTACTGACAAATAAATAGAAATATAACATTTTCATCATCTGCCATTCAAACTTTGTCAGAGTTAGCTAAAGATCGTAAAAATATTTTAATGATACAAGATATCCAAAGGTTGCATCTATTAAGAAATGATAATCTACGCACACCTCCCTTTTTCTATAAAAATCAATATAAACAGCTGCATTTACAATGTAACATTCATCATTCTTATCTTCCATTTCTTCCACATGCACACCACTTGAGCATATTAGATCACCATCCACAACCTCAACATTTGATATTGCTCCACTGTGTTAAGTAAAAATGGTCAGAGATACTCAATTACCTATGATGAACAGCTATGAAGAGAATATTATAACTCAAAGTGTAAGATACTTAGTAAGGGAAAACTAATTTGACCTTCTCAATATCCAAAAGATCCTGTAGAGGTCGAGCAACTCCCAGCTTAATCTACAGTTTCATCTCATCAAAGGAAACGCCAGGTATAGACCCTGTACCCTCAAAACAAAAAGTAAAATATTTCCCCACTTGCGGTAATAATTTAACTTACAAAAGGAGATAACATCGTGAATTCAATACCCACTAATCAAACAATTGTAACTTGTAGTTGATAGACTTCAGCAAACAACTCCACATATACAATGATCATGAGCCACAATACTTATATACCAACAAGGTACCAAGGAAAAATAATAATTCAGGTCATGTATCTATTACATCGCTACTAATCTTATATACAGGTTACATAAACTCACATGAATATGCGGATAGCCCAAAAAATATCACTAAAACAACAAATAGGAACAAGAGAAAATACCTCTCATGAAAGCGGGGATTGAATTAGAAGAGATAGCATCCCTACAAGCCCGCATTGCAGCTGACGTAATATCCTGCCTGTTTGTCCATCAAAATTTTCATATTGAACGCCATACATAAAAATGTGTCTTCGTGCGTGCGTGCGAGCGCGTGAGTGGTGAGAGATGAGGGAATTGATTTACCCATGTTGATCATAGCCAACACCCATTTCAACAAATAGGAGCTTCATCGAAGAATTTGGCACGGAGTCAACGATTTTCGCCGCACTTTGATCACTGGCCATTGCCGTCTTTGTAACTGTAACAGGAAAACGAATTGGAGGGCAGAAAAAGGAGGGTTTATTTGAATTTCTCAGTTTGTAATAGGAAAATGGAAAATTGACGAGATTGATCGAACCGAAACTTGTTGAAGAAGGTAGAATTGGGGAAATTACAAAGCCTCTAGAATTAGAAAGAGCCGTCATCTCTGCCCAATTCCACAGATCCTATTACAAAAATGAATCTCCTACCTCAATATGTATCCAACACATTCCAATCATCATTTAATTGTTATAAAATAGAGTAGTGCATAACTTCATTAAGATTACCAAAATTGTAGATTGCACAAACGTAATGAAAAATTAAAACAAATAGTACCCAAAAAAAAAAAAAAAAATGTCCGAGGTTCATCAGAATACTCTACATTTTCTTCTTCTATTCAGCTTCATAGTCCTAAAATACCTAACACATCCCTCAAGATTTTCTTTCTTGCACAAAAAAACTCATCAAAACAGCACATCAACAAAATCCCAAAATCCAATCTTTAGCTCCTCTTCTTCACCCATCCATTGAAAGCCCAAATAAAACTAAACCCAAGCCCCCCGAGGAAACATCATCTATAACCGATTCTTTGCCCGAAACTAACCAGAGGCCAACACCGAAAATTACCAAAATAACTAAAATTCCTAGTTTCGATTTCCTTCTCTTTTTCGAACCATCGAAAGCTCCCCATCCAAATCCATTCCAGGATCCAAACCCTCCTCCATTACCGCCTTTATTACCACCTCCCAATTCTCTCAACAATAACTCCAGTGGCTCCGATAAAATCGCAATTTTCGAAGCAATAATACAAGCTGATTCTAGCACGAGCTTTGTTGATCTTTCAAACCCATATCGCCTTCTTTTGTTTTTGAAGCACAGAACTGTTTTCTATATGCGGGTCTTCTGTGAGTGGCAATTGTAAGAACAGTAGGGTGAGAATAACGGGGGTTTGAGGCTCAGGGACAAAGGAATCATATTACCATTTGTACCACCGGTAGGAGCCGCAACAGAGACGAAAGCACCACCTCCACCAGCGCCATATTTCGTAACAAGGTCCTCAAAGGAATGCCATCGTCGTTAAGGATCAAGCAAGCGTAGGCGCAAGCGATCTCTCCACTCTCACCAACGGTATTTGAGGGGGAGGCAGAGCGATTTGAAGGGAGGAAAAGCGATTAGGGCTTCTGTAGTGATTTCGTTCCTTTTTTTTTTTTTTTCAATTTTTGTTTTGTGGGCTATTGGGTTGCAATTTGATAGATGTGGTAATTACACAAAACCATATTTTATGTATTTACATTTCCAAAATTAGATTTCATCTTTTTTTTTTTTAAAAAGTCAGAAGTTTTTAAAATAGATACATGTTTTTTATACTTAATTAAAAATTAATAAAAATTTTATGAAAAT